GAGTGGAATTCCCAGGACCCTAAGGGGAGTTTCTAAATGGAGCCATGTCACCTTGGGTTGCTCTGGAGGCCTTCCACCGTCATGATGCATCCACCATCCCAATGTCTTATTGCCCCAATTGATTGCCATATCAGATAGGGCGCAGAATCGGGCCATTAGCCTTTCGGTTTCTTCCATATTACGTGCTGAGGCTTCTATCATTAGTGTGAGATCATTTGCAAAGAGGGAGCATATTTGTATTGCCTCCTCAGGGATGGAGGATGTCTGGATCTTACTAATATTCTGATTGGCCCTCAGGTTGGCCGCCAAGGCCTCCATCACAACCACAAATAGGTATGGTGCTATTGGGTCTTCCTATCGGACCGAACGTTGCAGCGGGAAGTCCGGAGCGAGGTTCCCATTGATTTGCACACGGGTGGTGGCGTTGCGTTGTAGTATCCTCACCCACCTCCTGAAGTTCCTCCCGAAGTTCATTTTCTCCAGGCATTTATCCAAAAAGTGCCAATCCACATGGTAGTATGCCTTCTCAAAGTCGATGAAGAGGAAGGCGGCGTTGCACTTAGATTGTCGGGATAGCCTCAACAGCTCATTAATTAAGAGGATATTATTGTGGATGCGTCTCCCCTTCAGAAAGCACTTGCCTTAATTAAATACGCGGCCCACCGGCCTTACCCTTTGCCCACCAGCCTCTTTCCCTGCCATAGCACCTGCCACATAAAGAATGAGCAGCGAACGAGGTGAGAGAAGGTAATTACCAGATGAGGTGGTGGTAATTCCGTTCTTACCTCGTGGCGATGGCATAATTTTGGAGGAGTGCTGGTGTTATCCCTAATCCGTGCAACGTTAAATTTTGGCGGAAGAGTCACTGCTGCCGCTCCATGGCTTTCCCGCTATGGCGGACTGTCGGGCACTATTCCTGCTGTAATTCACCATGTGGTAACTTTCGTGGAGGAAAAGTTACCGCATCAAAAATTAGCGCTGCGATTAGCGCAACCGGTCCGCCCAGAAGAGAGAAGGAAGATTATGCATGGCCTCTGCGCAACAATGGACCTCCTCATGGGCGGAATCTGTCCCTTCAATCAACTTTTTTTTTTTTTTTTTTTGGTTGAACTGATCAGAACATATACTACACTTGAACTTAACCAAAAAGCCGAGAAGGCTATTCAATTAACTTTTGTTTTTTGTCTTAGCCAAAAGGCTGAGAAGGCTATTCCATTAACTTTTGTTTTTTGTGTAAGTGCTAAATAGGAAAAATTGTAAAATACTAAATAATAAATACTAAAATGTCCGGATTTCTTGCCCTGTTTGTCTTCTTTTGTGTTCATTGCGGGACGTTGGGGACTTGCAACTTCAGGCGCTTGAGATTCACGTTAAGGTAATCTTGTGCTTTATCCACCTTTTCTTTTTTTCCGTTGTTGCACACTCTTGTCTGTGATTTCCTCCCTCCCTCTCTCCCCCCCTCCTGCCCCCCCCCGCCACCCCTAAACAATCGTCCATACACATTCAAAATGTTGGACTCCTCGAATGCACCTGGTCCAAAATGGTGTCCGCATGCATCTAGAATTCTGAGTGGAGTGAGGCCCAGTATCCCCTGATCTGTTCTGGTCAAAATGTTGCACTTCTCGAATGCATCTGGTCCAAAAAGGCTTTCACATGCATCTAGAATTGTGAGTAGTGGAGCGAGGCCCAGTATCCCGTGATCGGTTCTGGTGAGACTCGCCCTGGCAGTCGGGCTCCTTGACTGGCTGGCATTTTTTTTTCCTTCCCATGCTACTCTTCTCTGTATCATTCCAATGTTAACGGATGTCCCGAAGGACGGTCAGCAGGCCATTTCTATTGCATGGAAAACTGCAAGATTGGAAAATTGAGCGTCACAAAAAACAACAACATCCGACTGTGACCATAATGTAATGGAACCAGCAGAAAAGTTGTTGCCAAGTGAAAATAGCAGGAGGGAGATCCCACTACCGATGTATGTAGATTGGTGTTTAAGGTGTGTGACTGTCAGGCATCGTGGATTTCACAGGAAATCAGTGGTAGCCTGTTTTTGTGAATTAAGCCCGGGAAAAGGATGTTTTCTTTTGCTCTCCAATTGGTAGGTTTTTCTTTTGTTTTTGTTGTTGGGGTCTTGTGGCTGTCCCAAACATGCGTGAAATCGCAACCAAGTTTTTTGGTTCGTGGAATCACATACGTTTCACTCACGGTGAAGGCAAAGACGAATGGCTTCGTCGCTGGAAATTGATTGTGGTTTGGGAGGTGTTTGGGAGGGTTCGATCCCCTCACCTACAGCAAATGGTGTATGGAGTTACTCTTGCCCTCCTTTGCCAAAGAAAATTTATGTTAGAACAACCGAACAGCATGCACTGCGGCCTATTTCAAGGAAACCTCAGACTATTGTCAATGAATATGGTCCGTGTGCCCACTCACATGCAGTCATCTCGACTACCACAACCATGGTCAGTGAATCATACTGACATCTGACACCCCGCCTGGAGCAGACACCATCTGTGTGAAGAGCACTTTCTTCTCTTTTTTAGCAGTCTTTTCTTCATTTGTTTGGTCATGAAATGGTTTCTTGCGCTTATTTTCCCCATTTCACGCCGCCACCCACCTGTCCCCCACCCGTCCCACACCCGTCACACTAATCCACATACATGGCTAGTGGGATCGCCCTCCAGGTGTACGTTTTTTGCCTGGAATTTCTGATCTTTTTCGTGTTTTGCATTTTTATGCAACTAAAAATGGCCAAATTGTGAAAGTGCCGAATGAAAAACAAGTGTAACTTTTTGCCTTGAATTTCTGATCTTCTTTTTGTGTTGTTTTTCTATCCAACTAAAAATTGCGAAATTGTGAAATTGTGAAATTGTGAGATGGAAATTTAGAGTCCAGTGCAGCCCGTTGTGCAATCACAGAGTCACCAGGAAAAAAGAAGAAAGAAAGAAAAAGAAAGTCATGTGGCAATGCAGATGATTCGTCTCAGGGCGTACTCACACAGGCACTATAGTAAATGCATCTGACCGCATTTACAGCCGGAGATGTATGCATCTGGACGCAATTCTGTCCAGAAATTGGGAAACCGTATTAGTGGATCTCCTCAAACCGTCCTACAGGACATCCATTGAAATCGGAACCGCACACAGAACATGACCATGGCCCCTGTGCAAGGATGTGCGAGGATGTGGCTCCTCGACAAGCCAAGGGGCCCCTGATGCGAGTGTGACCGCCCTAAGTGAAGGCGGGCCTAACAAATCACGAGAGCCCCAAATGCTGTCAATTTCGTATGCGGGGCTCAGGCAGTTGTGTCGCGTCAGTCGGTTGAGGGAACCCAGGACTCGAGCTGCAAAGAATTTCCACGGCCTTCCAGGCCGGCAGGATTCGCAGCAACATACACAGACAGTTGGGAGGCCTAACTGAACAAGGCCCAGCAGCTGCAGCAGAGGCCCAGCCACTTGGGGCCTACCGGAAGCTTCTGGGCGCAGGCCCAGCCCAGCCAAGCCGCAGGCCTGGCCAGAACTCTTTGATATAGGAAAGAGCTCTTGGCCAGGCACAGCATTCGGGCACTTGCAAGCAAGCGGCAGCGCTGCTGTAGCGGAGTCTCGCGGGCTGCTGCTTGCGCTAAGGCAAGGTGCTGCACACGGGCGGTAGTGTACGAGGAAGGGCGCTGCTGAGGGCAGCGCCATAGCTCAGCCTCCATAGCTGGCCGAGGCTTGGATGTACAGCAAGGCGCAGGGGTGGTCTTCGGGTGTACAGAGGGAAGACGAGGGTGAAAGTCGAGGGAGAGAGAGAAGGATGATGATGATGATGATGTGAGGGCACATACCTGGTATTGGCAATGATCTGCATTGGTCGACATCTTCAAGTACTTTGTTGGCTGCTGACGTCAGCAGTTGCATTGTCAATTAGCAGACAGATAGTAGCTGTGTAGGGAGTAGACTGGGCGCCAAGCGCCAAGTAGGGAGAAGGGCCTGGATACTCACGTTGGTGAGGGCGAGAGCAAGCTCTCATTGACATTCGATTTTCAGTGTTATGATTCTTCATTGGTGTTATATTGGTGCAATGCTGCTTTCTGGACACTGTGATACTTTCTGGGTCTCAATGTGATTGTGCAATCTGGATTTTGTCATCTCGCTATAGCTCATTTTCCTTGCAATTTGGTATCGACGCGCTTTACTGGTTCTTTGCAATAGCTCTTCGGTGCTTCGCATGAGGTGTGGGGCAGTGATAAGGCTTGGGCGTTGGACGATAGGCGGCCCAGGGTCGTGTGGGCGCAGCGGGAAGGCTTTGTGGTGACATAGGGGTGTACACTGGGTGATGAGAGCTCGCTGATGTGGCATTTAAGCCGAGGTGGAACTGCATTTCGCTGTTGGTTGTGCCGAGAGACTTGTCATTCGCGACATTTCGGATTTCCGTCACTTCTGACAGTTCAAGATACTGTCTTTGGAAACATTGAGTTGACGTCATCTTCCCTCTCCTCCTCCTTTGTCTCTCTCCTCTCCCCTTTCGTCCGTGTATGATCTCGGCCCTGGCCCTTCGTCTACAACTCGAGGCCAGGGCATTCACACCCTGATGAATGATGAGAGTGTTCGATTGCAGTCCGAGTCAGGTCTGAGTCAGTCCAAGGTATCTCAAGTCTTCCGCTTGCATCTGTATAACTCTGTATTATCTGGTCGGTTCTGGGAATCTGCGCCATACTTATGACTGTGTTTCACGAGTATGCAACAGTTTGGTATCGGAGCAGACCAGCATTGGATGACTCACTATTTGATTGATTGATTGATTGATTGATTGATTGATTGATTTTGATTGATTGATTGATTGATTGATTATCAATACCTGCACTCTGTTATCATTAAATCGCAAGTTGCAATTTTTTTTTTCCTTTTCTCGCACTTTCTTAGTTAATTAGGTCGTTAAAATTGTAATTTACTAATTTTAGGTTTGCGACATTTCTTCATATCGCGCAATTAGGAAATCGTTAATTACGAGTAAACCTAATTAGCGCTAATTAGGGTTAGTCCTAACCTAATCTAAACGACCTACCTAGCCTATCGGAAGTAAGTGCCAGCCAGACACCGCGCCAGTTAAGGCTGATCAGGCCTGAGCTAGGCCATATTCGAACTGCAACTTCACGGAACTTTCACTTTTTGCAAACTGCATCTTTTTTGCGATTGAAAGGTTGAATCTTTCCAGCAAATTGTGTATCTTCCTGCTACCATTCATCTTCTACTATATAATATAAATCAAGATGATAAAAATATAGATAAGAAAATACAAATTTAAAATAAAACTATATATCGAATTTACAGATTGACCTCATGATGATGCTAAAATCTCCCGACGAAATTTCATGATTTTTTTCGAAAAAGTTATGTCTAAATGTTTAAACTTGCTTAAACTTATTCATTTCTTTTATCGATGCAAATTTCAATATTTTGATTAAAGATTTAACTTTTGTGAAATTAATTAGACTTCGAGGTCAGGGGACACAGGGACTGTCTGTGCATTGTGTGCCTCTCTGCCCCTCCTCCCCACCCAACCTTCTCTTCTCCTCTCGGTATACGGTTGCCAGCATCCGGACACGTCAGCAGAGTGCCACCTCAGCAGTGACATGTCAGCAGAGTGCCACGTCAGCAGGTGCCACCTCAGCGGTGACACGTCAGATGAGTGCCACCTCAGCAGTGACACATCGGCAGAGTGCCACGTCAGCAGGTGCCACCTCAGCAGTGACACGTCAGCAGAGTGCCACGTCAGCAGGTGCCACATCAGCAGTGACACATCAGCAGTGACACATCTTGATGCACCGCAGCCAACGACTGGTCGAGCGCGGATCTGCAGGAGCCAAGCCTGAACAGGAACTGAGCACCCCTCGGATACCTCACAGACCACGCACGACCATGGCTGCTAGCTCTGACAACACTGCACCAGGTAGCCCCAAGAGGCCGGTTACCCCTCTTCTCCCAGTTCAGCAGGCCGATGAAATGCTCCTAGCGTTCCTCGACCGTCTCCAGCACTATTCGGAGACAACGGCAGCTGACCTACGCAAGTGGGAAGAAGAGGAAGCCGCCCGCCAGCAGGCAGAGGCAGCAGTAGCACGTCAGTGGTCCGCAGCAGAAGCTGCAGCAGCCGCACGGTTGCAGCAGCAGCAGCTCGAGGCAGATCAGAACCAGGCTTGTTACCAAGCCACGATGGATCTTGCTCGCAACGAACCCACATATGTCAGGCTACTTCGACAACAGCATTTCCAAGAGACCGAAGAACAAGCCCGGCCTACCGATGAAGAACGCACCAAGGAAGGGACAGCAGTACTAATGACATGCAATTGGCAGCAACGTGAACTGCTCGCCATGCGGCAGGTCCTCATCCGCCATGAAACAACACTCAAGGCACTGGACAAGAGGATCTCGACCCTGCAGACCGAGAACAGCTCACTACAGGCCGCCAACAGCCAGCAGCAGATGCTCAACAGCCAGCAGCAGACACTTAACCATCAGCTGCAGGCAGATATCAGCAACGGGTTGGCACAACTGTCATCAGCTGCGTCAACGGGCAGTGCAACAGTCGACTGCAGCCCAGGTTTGGCCGCACAGGCAAAGCAATTGGAGGAGCGCTTCAATCATTTAGTCGCTCGGCGACATCAGCAAGTTTGCTGGAGTGTCGACAGTCAGCAATCAGCTGCAGACGCTCAGTGACCGCGTTGACCAAAGACCGGCCGCTGCCGCCAAGGAATGGAAGATGCCGAACTTCAAGATCGAGAAGTTCGACGACTATCACAAGACGGACCCGCTGCAATGGTGGATGGCCTTCAACGCAGAGGCGGATGTACATCATACACCCGCCCATCGACGGCTGGACGCTCTATACCTCCAACTCATTGGAGGAGCGCAGGTCTTCATGACGCATATGGCGGTCACATTGGAGTGCACCATCGCCACCCTCCACACCAAGATCACCTGGGAGGAATTTGAGAAGAAGTGGAAGACCCGGTTCATGGTCAACAACGACAAGCGTCACGCCATGAACAAGATCTTCCGCATCTACCAAGGCCAGCAAACATCACGAGAATGGCTGACGGAGTGGCAAAGACTCGTCGCCACCCCGGAGTTGGGCTTACCATTCGACTCAATCCGGGCTGAATTCTTCGCTCGGTCATGCGACGCTTTGACAGCCGCGCTTGGTACCAAATTCCAATATGAGACCTTTGATGAGCTGATCTCAAAGGCAAGAGACCTGATCCAAGGTAACCGGCGCGCGGCCAACGAGACCCGCCAACAGCCCGGTTACGTGGAGAAAGGCAAGGGACAACGGACGCCGCAAGTAGCAGCAGTCCAACAAGGAACTAGTGAGGACCACGCAGCCGCTTCAACATCAAGTGATGGAGATGTGGCGGCAGCGATACCACCACGACGCACGAAACCCCAAGGGGGCAAGAAGGCGAAAGAAGCGTCGGCGGATGGAGCACGACAGGCACCATGGACGGAATTTGGCATTACTGAAGAAATGTTCAAGTTGCGATAGAAACGGTAATGTTGTTTATGGTGCAACAGCACCAAACACGTCACCAGTGCCTGACTCGACAAGGACAAGGAAAATGTCAAGCATTCGGGCTCGGGAAACTGAGCACCGCGGGAAGTGCAGCGACATCATTTCCCAGTCCGCCGGAGTCGGCTGCCTTGCTAGCAGCCTCTCTCACATCCGGGGACATCGCGGTAGTCGCAAGTTCTCGCGTTGAGTATGAGAACTATGTTGTCGAGCTGGTCCCACCGTTGAACCAGCCTCTCCACATGCAAGATTCAAGAGTATGCGCGGCAGTTCCGCCGTCGGACAACGAACCGGTCGCTTCGCCAGCCCTTTTATCGGAGGATCCGTCAACTTGGATGAGCCTTGAGGATCTCGATCCGATGACAGTTGAGGACTTCCAATGGTTGCCTCTTCCCTCCACCGGTTCCTTGCCAACTCCGCATTGCAATGCCATAATGGCACATCTACGCGAATACTTGCACGCTGCAGTACCACCTCCGTCGACGGACGGCGGAGTAGCGGTTGTTGATCTTTGTAATTATCTTGCGAAGATCGACCGCGAGTACGCAACGCAACGGTACGTCGACAACAACGCGCCGCTCCTCTACATCCGCATTCAGATCGGAAAGGCGACCTGCAGTGCCTTGGTCGATTGTGGAGCGACTCGCAACTACATCAGCCAAGACTTCATGGCACGCGTCGGGCTTGGCCCGCGCGTTCGAAGGAAAAGTCAGCCTACGCACGTCACGTTGGCCGATGGTCACACACAAAAGTCAATCGACCGATGCGTTGACTCGGCGCCCGTGTACTTTGCCTCGCTAGCAAGCGAGGCCGTGTCTTTCGACATATTGGACACCAAGTTCGATATGATCCTAGGCATGTCGTGGCTGCAAAGCGAAGACCACCCGGTGAACTTCCATCGCCGCACCGTTCACGTTCGTGATCGGCGTGGTGAACTATTCCCGTGTACGGTGTCGCTTCCTCATCCTTCGATTGGTTGTCACGTGGTATCCGCGGCGAGCATTCGCCAATCCATCCGGCGGAACGACATCGAGGAGATGGGCATATGTTTTCTTCACGCCCTCCTACCCGGTGATCAGCCCAAGACGGATATGTCGGACCCATGCATCATTGAGCTGTTGGACAACTATGAGGATGTCTTTCAAGCTCCCGCCGGAGTCGTACCGGATCGCCCCATACGCCACGGGATCACTCTCGAGGACGACGTCGTACCTCCGCGCGGATGTATCTACCGCACGAGCGAAGAGGAACTACAAGTGCTTCGGGCACAACTAGACGACCTCTTGGCCAAGGGCTGGATTCGCCCTAGCTGTTCGCCATACGGTGCTCCCGTTCTCTTCGTCCGGAAGAAGAACGAGGACCTTCGTTTGTGTATCGACTATCGTAAACTCAACGCACAAACGATCAAGAATGTCGGCCCTAAATGATCTTCTCGAGCGACTCGGCGGCGTCAAGTACTTCTCGAAGCTTGACCTCAAGTCCGGTTATCACAACATCGAGATTCAGCCAAGAGATCGGTACAAAACCGCTTTCAAGACGCGGTATGGGCACTTTGAGTGGATCGTCATGCCTTTCGGTCTCACCAATGCCCCGACTACTTTCCAGGCGGCTATGACGACGGAATTCCGCAACTTACTCGACCGCTCCGTACTCATTTACCTCGATGACATCTTGGTTTATAGTCGGTCGCTGGACGAGCATCTCGAGCACCTTCGCGCCGTATTGGAGCGGCTTCGTATCGCCAAGTACAAGGCAAACCGCGACAAGTGCGAGTTTGCCCAGCAAGAGCTGGAGTACCTGGGCCATTACGTCACGCCGCAAGGCATTCGTCCGCTCGTGGACAAGTTACAAGCTATTCAAGATTGGCCGGACCTCGAGTGTACTACCGACGTCCGCTCCTTTCTCGGCTTGGCATCGTACTACATGCGCTTCGTCAAAGGATTTCAACGCATCGCTGCACCATTGTCGCGACTTCAGTCCCCTTTGGTGCCTTTCGAGTTCAGCAACGAGGCCCGACATGCGTTTCACACACTGAAGACGGCTTTGCTTCAAGCTCCCGTCTTAAGCATCTATGACCCGACGTTGCCTACCAAAGTGACTACGGACGCTTTGGGTTACGACATTGGCGCGGTTTTGGAACAACATGACGGCACAGACTAGCATCCGGTTGAGTACTTCAGCCAAAATGTGCCGCCCATCAACACTCTTGATGATGCGAGGAAGAAGGAACTCCTAGCTTTTGTCACCGTACTTAAGCGTTGGCGTCACTTTCTCCTCGGGCGTCGACGATTCACGTGGGCAACGGACAACAATCCGTTGACGTATTACAAGACGCAAGACAGTGAGCAGCACAGTCAGTCGGTGGATGTACTTCATTGACCAGTTCGACTTCACCTCCAAGCACATTCCGGGCTCCTCGAACAAGGTGGCGGATGCTCTCTCGCGAAGACCCGATCTTTGTGCCATGGTGCACTCCACGTTCGGCCTCGACGAGGACCTCCAACAGCATTTCGTAAACGGCTACAAGTCGGATCCGGGATTCTCCATACTCTACGCGGACTTATCATTGGACCAACCGTCGACAAGCGACTATCGCATCATCGACGGCTACTTACTCCTCCATACACGAGGCAACGACTTGTTGTGTGTTCCCCAAGACCGCATCTTGCGTACTCGCCTCCTTGGCGAATACCATGATTCGCGGCTGGCGGGACACCTTGGCGTCGCATGCACACTAGCACGACTCTGCCAGCGATTTCACTGGCCGGACATCATCAGTGACGTCAACCCGTACATTCAGTCATGTGCAGTTTGCAACCGGAACAAAGGGCGCCATCAGCTCCCTTACGATGAACTGAAACCATTGCCGATTCCTCGGGCACCGGGTCTCTCCATTGCTATGGATGTGACCGGTCCTTTCCCTCACGATTGCCTTGGTCATGATGGTATTCTCACGGTCGTCGACCGTTTGAGCAAGTACGCTCGATTTCTTTCGTGCAAGTATCATGCGACGGCTCCCGAGCTCGCACGTCTTTTGCATACCGGCTGGTTTTGCAGCCACGGCGTTCCGGAAGACATCGTCAGCGACCGCGACACTCGTTTCATCTTGGCCTTTAGGACGACACTCATGGTGGAATCCGGCACCATCATGAAACCGAGCTCCGCACGGCATCCTCAAACGGATGGGAAAACGGAACATGTGCATCAGACTGCGCAGATGATGCTCCACACGCTCATCCGCCCGGATCAGAAGGATTGGGTTGACCGCCTTCCCGACACCGAGTTCGCCTACAACACTTCGGTGCACCCGGCGATCGGCGTGACTCCATTCGAGTTGCACCACGGTGGACGGAAAGGACGTAGCTTCGCAGACATTTTGCTTTCACGGGTTGCCGATATAGACGCCGGTTGCTCCCCTGCTTCTACATGCAAAAGGCTCAGGTCCGTATGCAGGAGCAAGCGAACCGGCGTCGCATCCCATGTCCAATTCGCGCTGGTGACCTAGTTTGGGTCGCCTCCGAGTAATTCGCGCTCGAGCAGGACGTCTCGCGCAAGCTCCTCCCGAAGTGGTTTTGACCATGGATGGTCACTTCAGCAGCTGGCGACGACCCCGCGGCTCCATCATTCATCGTTGAGATTCCCGCGCATTTGATGGTCCACCCGATCTTTCACGCTTCAAAGTTGGCGGTTTACACTCCAGCCTCCGCAGCGGACTTCCCGGGCAGACGGTCACAGGACCCTCCTTCAATGGATGGTCATCAAGAGGTCGACCGCGTTCGCACGCATCACAAGCATGGCAACAAGTCGATGCGGTACAAAGTTACATTCAAGCAATGCGATCCGAACGACACACGCTGAATCTCAAGAGCTGATCTGAAGGCGACAGCACCCCTCATCTTCGCGCATTACGAAAAACAGCGAMTTGCTAAGGAAGCTGCCCAACCTGCCCGCCCTGTACGGACATCGGACAGACAGCTTCGCCCTCGCAGTTAGCTCGGTCTTTCAAGGGGGGGAGTGTGGGGCATACTGAGCCACACGGGCCCCAGTTAGGGCCCGGTTCCAGACATGCAGGGTTAGCCTAAGGGACGATGGTTCAGATGAGGCCCAGAGGGGCCTGGACCATGACGGTTCAGGCAGGCCCAGGCCAAACGGCCACAAGGTGGTACCGGTCCGGCCTAGGACCTACCGGCGGCACTTCAGAGGCT